CAAAAACAAACAAACAAACAAATAACAGAAAAGTTTTATAATATATATTTTGAAGGAAAGAAATCAAGATTGTTTTTAAAGTTTAACAAAAGGTTGATTTAATATTTCAAAATCAGCTTTGGGATGCTTACCATATACAGTTATGCGTCCTTATGACTTATATAAATGATATTCCTCTCACTACAATGTTTTCTGGGTCCTAACTGTCTTGGTGAGCTCTGAATTGAGCAAACCGCGTCGTCGACAATGGATGTAGTAAACATAGGGTGGTTAGAATATTATTATTACTACACACTCTTCTGATTATCTAAAATACCTACTGGGCTACATAAGGAATGCAGTGTTAAAAATATAATAGGCTTAATACTAGTGTCTTATGACAAGTATAATTAAGTGTAATCAAAATTCGCAAGCCTGGAAAAGGCGTTCACGTCATAACAATTAATAAAATTATTAGGTTGGTATTAATGCACTTAAAATAATCCAGCTTTCAACCGAATTACACGAGAATCACTGGTTAGACACATGAAGGGTTTTTAAAGAAGTGAGTAACATTTTCTGCCTGCTTCGCTACCACAAGCATCATTAATGTTATAGCTGGGCAGTTTTGAGGTCTTTCCGATCGATTAGCGATACGATTTATCAAGAGAAATTTTAGCGATAGCAGTCATGGCAATTTCGAAGTCAACAATCTTTTCCTAGACAGTGATTAAATTTCCCGGGCAAGTTATCATAAGAACCGCTCTCCGTTTGGCTTCTCCCGATCAGAACCCGCCTATTCTGTGCAGAATTTGTTTAGAAAGTTCTCGATGTACCTCAACAGATGCCCTGACAGTTTAGACAAGTTTCATGACAAAAAATACGATGCGTTTTCAGATGATTGAGGACAGACATCTAGAGCTTACAGAAATTATTTGAATAGCTAGGCACCATTTCAAGGTGCCAAAATCAGCTGGCGCTGGCCATGTTGTTCCATTTACCAGTCGACTTGGTACTGGCTGTTAGACGATCAAAGTGACAGATTGCTAAGGGCTTATAGATTGATCCGATAAAGTGAATTACATTGCTGCCTTTATCTCATGTCAATATTCAATATTAAACTCTGATGAGCGGCTGTGTTTCACTGACCATATGTCTATCAAATAAGGTGAAGAACCGCTCACTACCAGAACCTAAAACTAAACAGAATACAAGCTTCTAAACTCTACGTTTACACAATACTTGTTAAATACTATCGAACCCACTTCGTGTTTCTTTGATAGTACTATACTTACCTCGTTTCTATAACGAGAATTAAATCATTCTCACTTGTTCAGCTCAAGTAATGATCACGCTTTGTTATTAACAGCAGTAGTTGTTCTCAACAGATGGCGTAGCTGTTTCTCCATCTTACTAATAGTTTCATCCTTGCATATATATTTGGATTTGGTCATACAAAACAAATAATGAAAACTAGGACAGAATCTACAGCGTGAAAGAATGTATTCCAGCGACATGATCCCCCCTCCCCACACATCGGCAGGGATACACGTTCAGATTTAGACTATTTGCAAGCGTCACGTGAAAGTAAAAAGTAGAGTAATAAGACAAATATTACAACAAGAGCAAATTACCCTAAACAAACTATTTTCATGTTTAATTTTGCATAATCAATTATCTGTAGGCCAAGAGAACAATATTTAGACCTCTCCTGAAATTTTCTGCACTGCAAATATACAACTGGGCTGCTGTACGGAAAGTTCCTGAGTGAACCTAGATCATACGTTCGACCCGCAATATCACATTGGTACTGATCTACGTAGGGAACTTGACAGTTGCTACATAATATGGTACTGATCTAAGTAGGGAACTTGACAGTTGCTACAGAATATGGTAATGATCTAAGTAGAGAACTTCTCAGTTGCTACAGAATATGGTACTGATCTAAGTAGGGAACTTGACAGTTGCTACAGAATATGGTACTGATCTAAGTAGGGAACTTGACAGTTGCTACAGAATATGGTACTGATCTCAGTGGTTAACTTGACAGTTGCTACAGAATATGGTACTGATCTAAGTAGAGAAATTGTCAGTTGCTACAGAATACGGTACTGATCTAAGTAGGGAGCGTTTCAGTTGCTAAAAAATATGGTACTGATCTAAGTAGGGAACTTTTCAGTTGCTACAGAATATGGTACTGATCTAAGTAGGGAGCGTTTCAGTTGCTACAAAATATGGTACTGATTTAAGTAGAGAATTTGTCAGTTGCTACAGAATATGGTACTGATCTAAGTAGATAATTTGTCAATTGCTACAGAATATGGTACTGATCTAAGTAGATAATTTGTCAGTTGCTTCAGAATATGGTACTGATCTAAGTAGAGAACTTTTCAGTTGCTACAGAATATGGTATTGATCTAAGTAGAGAACTTGTCAGTTGCTACAGAATATGGTACAGATCTAAGTAGATAATTTGTCAGTTGCTACAGAATATGGTACTGATCTAAGTAGATAATTTGTCAGTTGCTACAGAATATGGTACTGATCTAAGTAGATAATTTGTCAGTTGCTACAGAATATGGTACTGATCTAAGTAGATAATTTGTCAGTTGCTTCAGAATATGGTACTGATCTAAGTAGATAATTTGTCAGTTGCTACAGACTATGGTACTGATCTAAGTAGATAATTTGTCACTTGCTACAGAATATGGTACTGATCTAAGTAGATAATTTGTCAGTTGCTACAGAATATGGTATTGATCTAAGTAGATAATTTGTCAGTTGCTACAGAATATGGTACTGATCTAAGTAGATAATTTATCACTTGCTACAGAATATGGTACTGATCTAAGTAGAAAACTTTTCAGTTGCTACAGAATATGGTACTGATCTAAGTATAAGAACAATTATATAAGTAAGTGAGTGAATAGCTGTCTATATGTTCCTATGGTTACAAATATATATATAACGATTTGATAAACAATCACTTTTATTAGATTAGATATCATCTGCGGTATTTTTTTATTTTACACAAATAAATCATAACAATATTCAGTTTATAATCTGTTTCTGCAGAATCGTGTTTTTACGTAGACTAACATAAACTTAAAAAAAGCGTTTGAACAAAAGTGTAATTTTTCGGAGCAGCTTTCCTGGCTTGGCGGAGATGGAGACGTAGTTACAACGAACACCGAGTATGAAACTCAAGAACTGAACGACGGAAAGCGAGCTAATGCTATCCTCAGGTGGGAATTTACGCCAACACGAAAACACCACTTGAAAAATTTCACCTGTCGGTCTGAAAATCCAGCTCTGAAACAGCCAGCTCTTACTACGATACGCATGGAAGTAAAATGTAAGATGAAAACTTTAGTCAGCCATGTATTTCTGAGTGAATAGCTTTTTGTTGTTGTTTTTTTTTTAAGAGTTTCCGAACAAAGCTACACAATGTCGTCCCTAATTTTGAACTTACAAGCCCACCGCCAACTGTTAGGCTGTTCTTGTTTAACCAAATAGCAAATAGTAGAATTTGATTTTCACTCTTATATCGCACCCTTGGCCCAAAAGTACGGAGTGCATTTTTGCGGCAACGAGACAAGAACCGTATAATTCACAGTCCAAGCACACTAGCTATGTGGCTCATAGATTAATGATCTGAATATAAACTAAAGAATGAACTTAAGGAGTTGTATTATAAAACAAAGTAACCCTTTCAGCTACTTCTCAGCCAAAAACTATGCAAAATAAAGCTATGCCGATCTCCATTTTGACAGTTGGCAGTGTCGTACACATTGGAAGGTATCGTACACAGATATATCAGGTAATAGTGGTATTCATTAGGAAGTAAATACATGTTTATTGACATGTTGTGCACCTGGGACATTAGGAAACAGAAAATACTGTCTTAAATTTACCAAAGTTTGTGCATGTATCTCAAGAGTCAATACCTTGAATTACCCCCATTTTAATGATGCTTCTACATCTATACAGAACGTAATTCGACGAAACCTAGCATGATCTAATGGGGAACGTTCTTCTCTTTTTACAAGTCTCTAAACTAGCGATTGCTATATTTAATGATAACAATTGTTGATGTTATGTGTAATAGATGATCGAGTTTTTCGAAATGTATAATTTGTTCTACTAGTTTTATTGTGTGACCTACAATGATGTACCGATTCAATACCGCGAGCTTCATTTTGTTTCCTACCGTTATATGACATTTTATGTTGCATTAGGTTACTATCACGTTAGTTAGGGTGTAATGTATTTATTGTACGAGGTGTTTTCACAACGAACTAAGCGTGACACCATGACTTGAGCATCACGTACACGTTATCTCAACGTGATGGAATATATCATAGTGGGAAAAGCGATAACGAGGGGAATCGGACCTCTGATTCTAGCGTTGTAAATCCGTAGACTTATTGCTGCCCCACCGGGGGACAACAAAACTTTCCTCGATGTTATCATTCAGCCCCAGTTTAATGTTTCTACATAATGTTAAGGTATTAAGCCCAACCTTTATTATTAGTACAACTTCCACCCTCCATACTACGCTATATGACACTCCACGGTACACCATATGATTTGTGCCCTGATGTCGGATATTTGTTTTTAGTTATTTTTAAATATATTCTTCGTTTATTCATTTACATTTTTATTTTCTTCCCCATAAAATTCAATTTAATTATGTTTTTACTTACGGTTTGGATATGCTGTGTAAAATTCACTCTATCCTTCCTTTTGATGTAATACGTTTATAAATTTTTCATAGCTTAATAAATAAATATGTGAATATATATTTATTTATATAAGTATGCTATTTAAAATTATATATATATAACAAAACACTGTCATACTACACTATTATATTTTTTTTCTCTCCTTTATTAATTTCTTCTACCGGTTTAGTGACTTCAAAGGTCACTCTTCAGGACATCATTTTACTGAGAATTTATAACAAAAACATAACCTAAAGTAAATACATAACATATTTATAACATACTTTTCGAAAAATAATCTTATGTTTTACATTAATTGCCCAAAAAGACAAAACATGAAAATGTAGTTCTTTTGAAAGAAATTTTAAATTTTCTTAAAATACTTTCAGTAAAATGTTTGCTGACATATACTGGGCTTTTCTCGGGACATCTAACATAGAAATTATATAAATATATCCTTCATCTTAAATTATCTGTTTCACCAATATAGAATTCATTACAATTTACACATTCTAATTGATAAATTACGTTCTTAAAATTGCAATTAGAAACATCTTTATTACTGTTCTTTATTGTTTTGGTAGTTTTCACGTTACCTAAGTTACATAGATCACAGTTCTTTTTTTTCGCAAATGAAAATACCTTCTTTAGGGTTATTCAATAATCTATACGAATTTATACATTTTATATATTTGAAGAAATATTAGAACTTTATTATTGATGAAATGTAGAACAAGTCCCTTAATCATAATTCATTAAATTTAATCTATAAATCATACTAATTACAAAATAAGAGACTTAGATTTTATTGACCAATGGGCTTCTTGCTGATCACAATAGACGAAACTTAGATTCATTTCATAAATGACCTTCTTACTCCTTGAATGGAAGGGTTCGCGCACATTAAATTCACAAACCTCCTAAATATTAGGCGAATATGTTCGTGAGATTGTTATGGAATTCAATACAAATTAAAAGTTATGCACAATAAGAGCTTATGATTTAAAATTTTAAAGATATGAAAAGGTTTGACGCCTTTAATAATAGAAATATAACAACACAAAAAATGGCTGTGCCTTCTGCCGACCTGTCGTGACCTAATAGGTAGGTTGCGGGTCAAAGGTATACTTGATGCAGCTGACTACGATCCGCACTTTCAGTTATGAGTGGGTTATAAATGTGGCCTGTTATTTGTTCAAAGACCCAACCAAAACTCTTGTAGCGGTGAGTATTGCTGTTTGCATTCCTTCTAGTCAGGAGTTTAATATTAGGGACGATTATACCTGAAACCCAGGAGTCACAGACGTGATCAATTAGTCCACAGTGCACATAAACCCTAAACCTAGGAGTCTCAGACGTGACCAATTAGACCGCTAAACCTAGGAGTCTCAGACGTGACCAATTAGGCCGCGGTCCACATAAACCCTAAACCTAGGAGTCTCAGACGTGACCAATTAGGCCACGGTCCACATAAAACCTCAACCTAGGAGTCTCAGACTTGACCAGTTAGACCGGGGTCCACATAAACCCTAAACCTAGTAGTCTCAGACTTGACCAGTTAGACCGCGGTCCACATAAAACCTCAAGCTAGGAGTCTCAGACGTGAACCAATTAGACCAGTTCCAATCTGCCGAGTACATTATCTTCATCCTCACGTTCTGCATTTTTTTCTTCTGTTTTGACATGGATTATTTCTATACATTTTCTCATTATGACATCAATTATTTCTATAAATCTTAGATGCTCCGGAAGTAAAGCTTACGGTATTTAGTGAAAGTATTGCAGAAAATGACGATGTCCAGCTGACTTGTGAAGTTGAGGCTAACCCTGCAGATGTAATTTATAAGTGGTACAGGTAAGTATAATTCTAACGCTAAAGTATGTAGTGAAGACGGTATTTTATTTAATATCTGCTATTGTTAACTGTCAAATGTTCATTGCTTAGGGACAAAAATGTTCAATATTTCATTACTTTAAATGTTATTGTTGACTGCCGCATGTCTATTGTGCGGGGCAAAAAATATTTAAGCCTATTTATTACATTGAAATGTTATAGAAGATTTTCTGATATTCAAAGTTATGTTAAATTTGTGGTTTAATTTTTCACTCAATTAATGATAAACTGTTCGGATGCTTTTCGTGTGTTTAATAAAAGTTCGTTACAATACTTTTAAGTACATAATTAGCAATTAAATATATGTAAATAGCTTGGGAGATTCGTGTATTTCAATTGATACTATGCCATCATGCTATTAAAGATCATATATTTTCATATCCACTGTAATGTAAATTAATGAAACACTATACTTTATCGCGTATAAATAACACCTTTTCTAATGGAGCTTCTATATTTCCTTATTTAATCGCAACAATCAATTAATGATTTCAAGAAATGGATTTATAATTTTTACTAACGCTGTTTGTTTCAGGAACAACGAGATAATCGCTGGCGATCACACGACTCATCTCCTCCTCAACCGAGTTAGTCGAGAGTATAACATGAACAACATTACTTGCGAAGCCAGCAATTCAGTTGGAAACACCAAGTCTACAAAAACACTTAAAGTGTTGTGTGAGTGCCAGTTTTAGTCGACTAACAAAATATTCTTACTTCATTCTGTTTATAGTTTTGGTTCTCTTTATTCAGCCCAAATACGTTATCTTTTTTCTGTTTTCTTCCGAATAAAAGAATTAAAGAAAACCTTAACGAAAAACAGAGTGTCTGCTAGTAATCTGAATTTGTATACAAATAGATTCCTTAGATTTCCCGCCACTTATATTGAACTTAGTAGAAACGTTTAGTTATTTTAAAAGTTTGATATATCAGTAGCTACGTATTCATAATTCGAGTTTGAGCTGTTCATTTTTTACCCAATATCCTATGGGACTACAATATCAAAACCTAACGCTACTGTCTTTTTATGGAGATTTTCAATGATACAAGTGTTTGACAACTCACGGCAGGATGTTTTATTTTATTTTAGAGAAAATCAATCAATATCTACCACAAATATTAAAGATATCAAATCGTTCGAACTGGATTCACACAATAATATGCAAATGAACTGCCAAATATTATCGAGAAATCCGCCTGCATTTTGTTCTATGTATTTCCTCAAAGTTACCATCTACGAAGGCCTTTTCTGTAAGATATTGTGGGCTACGGAATCAGCGTTTTTTTACAATAACTTAAAAGTATAATCTTTTTTCTTGAGATAATGGTTGTTATTCAATCCACTCTATTTCACATAAACTGAAAATCAATAATCTATTGAAAAATATTTAATATGTGTTCTTGCTATACATTGAAATAAAGCTTTAAAGAAAGGCAGATCAAACCTTTTAGCGTTAAAAAATGGAGGGAGGCTTAGGCAAAGAAGAGGGGCTATTTGCCCTGTCGGTTCCTAATTTTAACCCTTCGTTTGCGGCTTGTGTAAATTTGCCTACCACCCCCATGCGCAAGATTCGCGAATTTCTACGACGGACCATTCAAAATGTTGCATGCAAAATGCTTGCATCATATGATGTCAGCCACAGTCGCCTATGCTAACATCA